TAATATATTACTGAGATAAATCAAAAAGCTACATCAATTAAGAATACTAATGTTCTTATATTGCTATCATGCTATGTAAGTTATAATTATGATACATGTTTGGTAGAGCAAGCCTGACCCTCTTGCTCTTCCTTTGTAAAGTTACCTTTAGTTCTTTTTACATTTCCATATGTATTTTAGAATCAGCTTTTCAATTTCTGTAATAACATTTTGAATATTGATTAGAATTTTACTGAATATGGAGACCAATTTGGAGAAAATTGACTTTAGGAGACTGACTACTATGAATTCTCTCTTCATTTATTTAGGTCTTTAAATTTCTCTGGAATAGTTCATCAAATACAAAAATAATTTTTTATAGGAAGCTTGCACTCCTTTTGTCAGATTTATTTCTAGGCATTGATATTTTTAATGCTACTGTAAACAGCTATCTTTTATTACAAATTTTATGTTGCCAATATGTACAAATGTGATTAATTTTTATATTTCAACCTGTAACTAATGACTTTATTAAATTTATTTTCATGATTTGTCTATTTTTTGGAGTAAACACATTTGAACTGAGTTTTTCCTTTCTTTGAACTTTCGTACCTCTCATTTCTGTTTTTTTTCCTAAGATGTATTTTATTATTTTTACATATGTATATGTAGGTGGATGCCTCGAGGCCAAAAGTGGGTATCAGATCCCCTGGAGGTAGAGTTACAGGCAGTCATGAGCCTCCTGAACTGGGTGCTGGGAATTGAGCTCAGTCCTGGAAGAACAGCAAGTGCTCTTAACCAATAGGCCACTTCTCCAGCCACACACACCTTTAATTTCTTTAACTTACTGCTGTATTGCATTAGCTTGAACTTCCACTAGAGTGTTGTATGTAGGGAAAGTTTTCAACATTTCTCCTTGAGGTATAGTATTTGTTCTATGTTTTTTGTAGGTATCCATTTTATATTATCATTCCAGTTTTTTTTTTTACTGACTTTATCATGAGCATATCTTGAATTCTGTAAAATGCTTTACTAAAATAACAATGTGTCATATTGAACAAGAGCTCTTATACCTTCTTTTCCATTGTCTTAAGACACTCCTATTGGATCTGGATTCTGTGCCCTACAATTTTTCCTCAATATATAATAGATTGTCTTTGAAGAATAAGAGTTCTTAAGAGTATGCTGAAAGTTCAGTGCCTTACCACCATGAGGGGAAGATCATCCCACACCTATCACCCCTTCAAGGCTCAGGGACTTTTGCAGAAGAGGTTGGCAAAAAGAATGTAAGAGCAGGTGGAAGGGGTGGATTGTTAACTGGAAGTGTCCTCCAGCCACTATGCTGGCAAGCTATACTCACACTTCCCATGCTCCTCAAGGAGTAGATGGGGGAGTCAGTTACCCCTCCCACCTAATCAGTTGACCTTAGTGTATGTGGGAGGGGCTAAGTTTATATAAGCTGAGAACACCATGAGGCACCTCTCATCATTTTGTGTGGCTGTCTGGAAGTCACAGGATCTATGGGGAGGGCACCTACTCTTCTGTAAATAAACCCCCACCCTATGCTCTGTTAGCAAGCCCAATAAACTCATTAGGATTTAAAAAAAAAAAAAAAAAAAAAAAGAACAGAGCTAATGGAACCTTCATTATTCCACTAAAGTTTGACCCCATGTTGGCAAATCCTTTGGTCTTTGATTTCTTATTCCTCTTTCCCCCCGCCTTGAACTTCATTGCATATATTTTTTTATGTAACCTTCTTCAAGTTATTTCTGGAAAAATGTGCTAGACATTGCCTGTCTTTGAAATAATAATAATAAAAAAAAACGACAACAAGGAGTATGCTAGGTCTGATGGTTCATGCCTATAATCCCAGCACTCAGAAGACTGAGGCAGGAGGATTGCAGTAGATTTCAGGTCAACAGGCTACAGACTGGATTAATAAGTGAGGTTCTATCTCAAAAAAAAAAAAAAAAAGAAAAAAGAAAAAGAAAACCCAAAACAAAAAAGAATATGACTACTACATGTCTTCCTACCTTTTTTCAACTGTAGCAGTAAGAACAAAAAACTGGAGAATATGTCTTTACTTCTGACAGATAAATTAAAAATTCAAACATATGAAATCAAAAAAATTAGTTCTTTGTAACTTTTCTTTATTCCATTGGGAGTCATTATTTAGCTTAGTACTATAAAAAACCCAGTTTTAAGTTCTAAAATGATGTGCTGAAATTGACGGTTCATCTTATTATAAGAACTAGCTTTAGAGAATAGAAAGGTTTCATTGGGTGCATCAAATAATATCTGCTGTTTTTTCAGTTTTGCAAAATAGAATGTTACTCAGTTAATTTGGTTTTCCTCTTTGTTTCAGATGATAAATGATATTCTTAGGCAGCATCAAATTGAAAATTTTTCTAAAGACTCAACTATGCAGGTATGTTAAATAAAGTCTAATAAACTAGATTGAAATTTTGTTGTAAATATGTCTATATCATTATGTATTATTGATTATAGTCAATATGAATCTTCAATATAAGTTCTACTTAGAATTATTCACATATGAAGTTGCCTATAGTACTTTGAAATTTTGCTTAGAACTTTGAGTTTTGTAAGGGAAAGTTTGATTTTTCTCAAAAAAATAAATTCTTTGTCATAGACATTGCTTTAATTTTTTTATAGCTTTGAAGTTGATATATATGATGTTAAAGTATTTGAGAAAGAAGTGGAAGATCATTCAAGGTTTGAAACCTTCTAAAATGATTTCTCAAAATGTGTCTAGCTGTATGGTATAACTTTTGAAATGCTTACAAATTATGACATTATGATAAGGACTGGGAATGCTGGCTGGCTAAATGCCTCCCCTATTATATAAGGCCCTGAGTTTGATCCCTGTCCTCCTAAAAGAAAAAAAGATCTAAAATTAAGGTAAACATAAACTAAGTCAAGTAATAATAATATATGCATTGATTTTTAAAAATACTTATTTCCTGAGAGATCTTTTTTTTTTTTAATCTTAATTTTGAGTTTTACCAACAAAGTATACTTAATCAGTGAGGTCTATATCATTAAATATTAAAGGAAATGGTGACTTCTAGATTAGCGAAGACTTTCTACTGAAACAGTAAGGAGTGTCTTGCTTTCCTTTAAATTAACCTTATACTTAGAATAGAAATTGTTTCTAAGGTGTCAAACACTGAAGAAATTGTTTTGAGATAATAGAAAGGACTAGTTTATTATTGACTTGAGTGTACTTAATCATTATGTATTATTTTCTTTAATATATCCAGAATTTAATTTATTTAGTGTATGCATTATTAATGCACTGCTCTTTTAATTCTAAAGACTTTTTCAGTCTTTTTCAGAGGGTCTTGAAACTGTTCATCATCCATTACTCACTATCCATACTGCATTATTTTTCTTATATTACCTTTTATGCATACTTAACTATAACCAGCATTCATTTAAAGAATAGAAGAATATTTTTAATATTTTATTTGGGGCTGGAGAGATGACTCAGTGGTTTAAGAGTATATAATGCTCTTGAAGAGGACCAGTTCCTAGCACCCTGGTCTAGCAGTTAACACCTGTCACTCTAGCTCCAGGGGATCTAATGTCCTCCATAACCACCTGCACTCATATGCACTTATTCCTACCTACATAGATACATACACATATGCATAATTAAAAGAAAATAGCAGGACTGGAGAGATGGCTTAGTGGTTAAGAGTACTGGCTGCTCTTTCAGAGGACCCAGGTTCAGTTCCTAGCACTTAAACATGGTGCCTAACAACCATCTATAACTCCAGTTCCAGGGGACCTGCTGCCCATTTCTGGCCTCTGTGGGCATTACACACACTTATATACATGCAGGCAAAACATTTGTACACATAAAATAAAAATAAATTTTAAAGAATCAAACATTTAAAATACATATTTTTAAATATTTTATTGTTTTTACTTTATGTGTATGAGTGTATCGTCTGCATGTATGTAAGTATACCTGTGATATGCAGTGCCCGTGGAGACCAGAAGAGGTTGTCAGATCTCCTGGAACTGAAGTAACAGATGGTTGTTAGCAGCCATGTGGGTGATGGTAATCAAACTCAGGTCTTCTGCAAGACCAGCCAATGCTCTTAACCTCTGAGCCCTCTCTCCAACTCCTAAAACACATATTTTATTTATTACTAATGTGTGTGTGCATGTTGTGGTGTGTGTGTGTGTGTGTGTGTGTGTGTGTGTGTGTGTTCGGGAGCATGGAGGTCAGAGAACAACTTTCAGGAATCAATTCTCTTCCTTTTACTGTGGAATCTCAGGATCAAACTCAGGTCAGTGTGGCAAAGGATTTTGTCCACTGAGCCATCATCTCGTCAGTCCTTAAGTGATAAAAAATCTTTTTTTAAAAAATATTTTATTTATTATTTTATATGTATGAGTGTATTGCCTGCATGTATGTGAGTGCACCTGTGTCATGCAGTGCTGTTGGTCAGAAGAGGGCTTCGGATTCACCTGGAACTGGAGTTAAGGACAGTTAGTAGCCACCATATTGGTGCTGGGAATCGAACCTGGGTCCTCTGCAAGAGCAGTCAGTGCTCTTAACCACTGAGCCATCTCTCCAGCCCCAGAAAATCTTTAATCAGTAAGTAGCCTGTAAGTTTCTTTTTTGTTTGTTTTTTTAAGCTGAATATTTTATAGCATAGGCCTGAGAGATTGATTTTTTTTTTAATACATATTTTTGAAACCCAGATTTCTGGGCATGTTCTTTTTTCAACATATGTGTTAGATGCTATGGCTGGCTTGATTGAAATTGTTTTTATCAGATAACATAGCAGTGACTCCAAGACAACTCTTCAAATGTAGCTGTGTTATGCATACTGATTATAATTAATTAAAATCTAGTAGCAAACTAGGTAGGGACAAGTGTGTCCTTACTCAATAGTATACTCCTAGAGAAATTATAGCTCCTCCCATTCTCAGGAGGTGTAGGTTCTTTTCCACATGTACTATTCTTGTAATCATATAATAAATATTTTTGAAATATTTTTATTCTTTCTTTGAGAATTTCAAATACTCTTGGGTGTGGAGCCTCTCCTGGAGCATGGTTGGCCTACCAGAGTACACACCCTTAAAGAAAACTGGCTCTTCCTCTCCCAGCAGCTATTAAATGCAATAGCTCCTTAGCTAGGAGGTGGGACTTTATGCCCACCTCTTCCTTCCATGCTGGAATTTTGTCTGGCTTGTGCTTGAGCAGGTCTTATGCATACTGTCACATTGGCTATATGGGCAATTGCCCTGTGGTCTGGAAACCACTGTTTCCTTGTAGTCATCCCCCATCTGTGGCTCTTAGAATGTTTCTAATCCCTTTTCCACAAACTTCCCTGAGCCTTGGGAGGAGTGTGATATAGATGCCCCATATAGGGCTAAGCACTCCAGTCTTTTAGTCTCTGCAGGTTGACCAGTTGTGTATATTTGTGTTAATTGCCTTTTACTATAAGAAGGAGCTTCTTTGGTTCCTATCTCTTAATTTTAGTGGAAGTATATTGTTACCAGCTTAAGATTTCTGTGTAATCTTCTGTATCTTCCAGACTTCCATTGTTACAAGTCTGATTTTTCACTACATGGTTTGCAGTTGTAAGAAAAGATGTGGTGTGGGAGCCTGAGAAGAATATTAAATTTGCTTTCTAGCAATAATGCCTCTGTGCTTGGCTATGTGCATTTTATTCCCTGGGGGTCTTTACCCTTGAAACCAGTCTTTAAGAGAAATTTGTTTGTTTTATGTTTGTTTTTTAGTAATGGATGAATTACATATCTAAGGAAAATTTATTAAGGCTTTTATGGAACTTAGGAGCAGTGGTTCAGATATCTTACTTTTTTGTAGTACTTCGGATTGAACCCAAAGTCTTGTGAATGCTAGGCAAGTATTCTATCCTAATCCTGAACTACAGTCCCTTTTAGTGCCAGTCTCACTAAGTTGTCCAAACTAACCTCAAATTTGTGATCCACCTGCATCAGTCTCATAAGTATCTGTGTTTATAAGTGTACTCTGTTATGCTTGGCTACACTTTTTATTCTTATTCAGTTTTATTTCCCAGGTATGTAAAAAAGATCTGATCAGTAGATACTCAATAAGTATTTGTTGAATGAATGAAACTGTACTCTTCCTTTTCTTCCCTCATTCCTGTCTACTGATCTTCCCTCATATTTAAACCGTGTCAAATATAATAATATTGGAAATGCAAAGCTATGGAATTTGATTTTTTTCATGTTTTAAGTTGAAACTTCAAACATGATTTCCTTTTCTTTTCAACCTTAGTACTAAGGGTTAAACCCAAGGCTTCACATATGGCTAGGCAATTGCTCTACCACAGGTCAGGTCAAACATACTTTTCTGTAGATACTGCGGATATCTAATGATGATATTAGTGCCATTACTACATAATAATCATATGAACTTATTTGGACCAAAGTATATTTTATTAATTTCTTTAAAAATAACCATTTTGAAGAACATTGTTTTTATGGGAATACAAATTACCTTTATGCTAGCTAGCTATACTTGAATTCTGTGGAAACAAATGAGGATTAGAATCTCCTAATATGTGTTAAAACAACTTATATATTTAGCATTAAATATTTAGCTTATTTTCATAATTTGTCTTGAAAAAGATCTCTTATTATATTTATGATTATATGATGCCTTCCAAAGATATTTTAAACTAATATTTGGTTTCTTAAGCGATCTCCAGGTTATTGTGAAATTTAGTTGTCTTTCTTTGATTACTTTGTATTTTCTACATGAATGCAAAATCCTTCAAATAGCCTTGCTCTCTGAGAGTGTGTAGTGAGTACTCAGTGACAAATATGCAAAATTAGAAAGGATTTCATTAAAAAGTAGAAAATTTTTCCCCAATTCTGTATTCCTTTTTTTTTTTTTCCTGAATACTCACTTTTTCCTCACACTAATTTAACACTGCAGTCTATGATACAGAAGTATATATGTGCCCTGGGAAGTGTGGTTAGTGCTTTATTCTCTTGTTTTGTTCTTGAGATTGGAATATTAAAATATAAGTGTATTTTTCTTGAAGGTGTTAAAATGCTCTACTAGATTGGGAATTTTCTCTCTACTCATTACCTTGTGTACTCTAATATTAAGGGAGGGAGCTATAAAAGGAATGCAGATAGGGGAGGGAGTCTAAATATAATCAAAATATATTGTATGAAATTCGCAAAACCTAACAAAAAAGAAAACATAGAATATAAAATTTTTTAAAATTAAAAATAGTCTTCTGGAAATACGTAAGCTGAAATCAAAGGGATAGAAGGAATAACCATAAAAGAATAGGACCAAATATATGTGAGTTACTTCTGGAGGGGAAAGAGATTCACTTATTCAATTAATAGTCACTGAATTTTTATTATAGTCCTGTGCTGTTTAAG